AAAAAAAAAAAAAAAAATTAAGAAGGGTTTGTAGGGCAGTCTTTGTTGACACCATGAGAAATCTGTTATTCTGGTGTAGCCTTCCTAGAAATATGAACGGCTCCAGGATCAGAAACACTTTTTTTTAATTTAAAATTTGACGGACCATTGCCTTGCTAAGCTATGGTGTGGCCACGTGCTCTTTGAGCTATATGGCCAGCCCATGTTTTCTTAAGCTTTGGGCCCCTCCCCTACCTTGGGGAGGTGAATCTCCTCTTTCTCTCTCTAATTTACTTGCTAGATAAACTATATTTTCTAATCTAAAAAAAATTACGGTTTCATTTTTTACATTATTAATTAGATTTATGGAATGCTGGAGTTCTTATCTTGATATGGGCTCCTGCCTGCTTTCTTTTCAGTTGATAGTTGGGAACTTAAGAGCATGTTAGATTAGATAAATCAGATGCTTTGTGTTTTAAATTCTCCTGTGTCTTCATAGTTGAACCATTTAATTCTTTTTTTTGTTTTTTTTTTTTGAGTTGGAGTCTCACTCTGTCACTGGAGTGCAGTGGCCGCTCCCGGCCACTGCAGCCTCGACCTGCTGGGCTCCGGCGATCCTTCTGCCTCAGTCTTCTGAGTAGCCGGAATTACAGGCATGCGCTACCACACCTGGCTGATTTTTTTATTTATTGTAGAGATGAGGTCTCGCTGCCCAGGCGGGTCTCGAACCCGCGGGCTCAGGCAATCCACTCACCTCAGCCTTCCAAAGGCTCAGGATTACAGGTTGAGCCACCGAGCCCGGCAAACCATTTAATTCTTACTTTGAGGAAAGAGCTCTATTTTGTGGCCCACCTGAACCCTCTTTGAGAACCTTTAGAAGCTGCAGAGAACCTGTCACCTTTCCTGAGTCAGTGGTTTTTTCATTTTGGGGTGACCCAGAGGGCCTCTGTGGATATAATAGAAAATAAGTATCAAGGGGTGCAGGTGCTTCTACTTCTTGTAACATTAAAAAGCTAGCAGGCAACCCCCTTGGATCCCCTCCCACTGTGGGAGCTTTTCTGCCCTCTCAATAAATACTGCTTTCCAAAAAAAAAAAGTTAGCAAAAGTAAATCATATGGTTGAATGGTGATTTCCAGTTGATTTTGAGGGGTAGTAAGGGTGCAGCAAAGGCCTGAGATGACTTTGAGAGGTTGATGATTGTGTCGTTGAAGACCTTGCTAATGAACTTCTTTAAAAAGTAAATTTCTTGGCTAGGGAGTTGACCGAGTATCCCAAAACAAAAACCAGGGTAAGGATACTCTGCACACAGTGTTGTCTTCCAAACTAAGAGGACTTATACTGCAGAGGGAAGGAGACAAAGGAAGGCATGTTAGGACAGAGACCTGTCAGCAACCTGGTCATAGCTAGAGGTGTTAAAACAGGCTGGGACCCCTTCCCCTGACTTTTATCTACCAAATGTTAAAATAATTAGGTAGACTGAAGATTTTTTAAAATTTTAGCAGATGCAAGCCAAATTAGTTTACATAAAACCACGTATTACATACACTACTTTATACCTTTGCACTACAAGATTAAATGAATCTGTCCTACTTTTCTTCCTTAAAATTTTATGGTTTAATTTTTTATAATTAGATTTATGGAGTGTTGGAGTTCCTATTTTTATATGGGCTCCTACGTGCTTTCTTTTCAGCTGATAGTTGGGAACCCAGGGGTATGTCAGATTAATCAGATGCTTTGTGTTTTAAATTCTCCTGTGTCTTCATAGCTGAACCACAGTTGGGGGGAAGATCGTGTTTTGTGCTCACCTTGGTTGCAAAGGCTGTTTGGCCTATTTCCTTCTATGAACAGATATTGCTGGTGAATTCAAAGAGCTGTTGCAGGTACTGATACCATATGTATTAAACCCATCTAAGTTAATGGAAAAGGAGATCAATGGCTCAAAAGTCACCTGTCGGGGACTGCTGGAGTACTTTAAGGTAAATACGGATTTTAATTATTAAAATGTTTGATTTTTGGTACAAGTGATCTAGATTGTAAACCGATTTGAATTTAAGTATTTGGAAACTTTGGGGACAGTTTCCTGAGGGAGATGGCGAGAGGCATTTTCAGAGACCTCAGTGTCCTTCCAGGAGTGGACCACGTGGTGGCAGTATCGGGCTGAGAACAAATGGCTGTTCTTTGCACTTTCTTAGAGGAGTAATTACAGTGGCTAAAGGAAGATTGTTCCCCGAGGAAGATGGTGTGGCAGGAGGTGGCTAGGAAATGGCCGTGAGTAGGAGGAGACGGCTACTAGAGGTGCCACGGCTACTAGAGGTGCACGACTACCTCAAGGCGGACGGTCACTCTGCCTACAGGTAGTGGCGAGGCCAGTGTGCATGGGAGTCGGACGGGAGCCCTAGCCTTCGTAGGTGTCTGCTGCTTGAGAACATTTTTAGTGGACTAAAAATGCTAACATGCACTCAGAGGCGTGTTGTGTTTTGCTAATTCCTGGTGGTTGATCTAGGTCTTTGGGGAATGCTGTTGTATGGCTACTGTTTCTGGAAATCAAAATATGAATAATAAATGGCAGAGTGACATTTTTCATAATCGTTTCTGTTTATGTTTTAAGGCATATATTAAAATTTATCAAGGGGAAGATCTGCCTCACCCCAAGTCCATGCTTCAGGTAAGCAGCTCTTTGACATCTAAATGTTATCCTTTATTTCCTCAATTGACCCATATTCAATGAGCAGAGTACTTTAGGAAGAGAAAACGTGATTGCTTTCTCCTTTTAGTATGCTGTGGGCTGTGGATTTTTAGCACATTGTACAGCAGTATGGCTGCCTTCTGGTTTTCTTTTCTTTTCTTTTTTTTTTTTTGAGTTGGAGTCTCACTCTGTTGCCCAGGCTGGAGTACAGTCGCACACTCATGGCCACCTCTGTGTCAACCTGCTGGGCTCCGGCGATCCTTCCGCCTTAGCCTTCCAAGTAGCCGGAACTATAGGCACACACTACCATGCCCAGCTAACTTTTTTTTTTTTGAGTTGGAGTCTCACTCTGTCACCCACACTCGAGTGCAGTGGCTGCTCCCGGCCACCGCAGCCTTGACCTGCTGGGCTCCGGCGATCCTTCCGCCTCAGCCTTCCAAGTAGCTGGAACTACAGGTGTGTGCTACCACGCCCGGCTAATTTTTGATTTGTTGTAGAGATGAGGTCTCGCCAAGTTGCCCAGGTGGGTCTCGAACCCGCAGGCTCAGGCAGTCCACTCACCTCAGCCTCCCAAAGTGCTGGGATTACAGGCTGAGCCACCGAACCCGGCTACCAGCTAACTTTTGACGTATTGTAGAGAGGGGGTCTTGCCAAGTTGTCCAGGCTGGTCTAGAACCTGCGGGCTCAGGCAATCCACTCGCCTCGGCCTCCCAAAGTGCTGGGATTACAGACTGCGCCCCTGAGCCCGGCCTCTTGTATGTTTTATGGTGGTGTTGTTGAAACAGAATGGCCTCTCCTCCCTGGGCCTGGTCCTCCCACCTACACACCCTGGGCAACACTTTTGTTATAGCCAGTGAAGCATACCCGCTGTGCTAGACACATTATTTCCTGTCATCTCTTTAGTAGAACGTGTTCTGACCGATCAGCTTACTATGCACTAGTTGAGTTTTTTATTTTCAACTAGAATATGTCTTTTGGTTAAAACATACAATTTGTGACTTTTTTGAGTTGAAGTCCCACTCTGTCGTCTATTCAGGAGTGCATTGGCACACTTGTAGTCACCGTATCCTCAACCTGCTGGACTCCGGTGATCCCTTTACCTTAGCCTTCCATGTAGCTGGAACCACAGGTGCACGCTACCATGCCTGGTTAATTTTTTTGATTAAATGTAGAGACGATGTCTCGCCAAGTTGCCCAGGCTAGTCTCGAGCCCCTGAGCTCAGACAATCCTCTCACCTCTGCCTTCCAAAGTGCTGGGATTACAGGCATGAGCTGCTGCGCCCAGCTTAATTTCTGACTTTTTTGTTTGTTTGGAGTCTCACTCTGTTGCCCAAGCTGGAGTGCAGTGGCACGCTCACGGCCACCCCAGCGTCATCCTGCTGGGCTCAGGTGATTCTTCTGCCTCAGCCTTCTGAGTAGCTGGAACTACAGGTTCATGCTACATGCCTGGCTAATTTTTGATGTGTTATAGATAACAGGGTCTTGCCAAGTTGCCTGGGCTGGTCTCGAACCTGCGGGCTCAGGCAGTCAGCTTGCCTTGGCCTCCCAAAGTGCTGGGATTACAGACTGAGCCACCGAGCCTGGCCGGTTTCTGACTTTTATGCTGAACGTGAGGATATTTATTGCCAAGTGTGATTTCTCCAGCAGCAAAACATTTCCACAGTGGGAGCTAGACCTTGGGATTGACACAGTAAAGATAACTTTTTTCCTTCTTTTTTTACTCACATCTGTCTCTTACATTTAAAATTGAAGCAAAGGAAATGGCATATTTCTTGGTTTTTGGAGGTTTAATTTACACTGAAGATCCTTCTGTATTAAAACAGGTTTTGGGATAGAAAATTTGTTGGAAAAGGTGTATTTTATTTCATCAATTTCCATGATATGGAAACCTAAAAAATAACAGAAGGCCAATAAGAATAGAAGAATGGGGAATAGGGTGAGAGAAGATTCTTATTTATTTTTTTATCTTTTTATTTTTGAGTTGGAGTCTCACTCTGTCACCCAGACTGGAGTGCAGTGGCCGCTTCAGGCCACTGCAGCCTCGACCTGCTGGGCTCCGGCGATCCTTCCGCCTCAGCCTTCCGAGTAGCCGGAATTACAGGCATGCGCTACCACGCCGGGCTGATTTTTTTGATTTATTGTAGAGATGAGGTCTCGCTGCCCAGGCGGGTCTCGAACCCGTGGACTCAGGCAATCCACTCACCTCAGCCTCCCAAAGGCGCGGGATTACAGGCTGAGCCACCAAGCCCGACTGATTCTTATTTATTTTTATCTGCATTTGGTTATTTGTGGAAGAATGTTAAAAGGGGAAGGATTCATATAGCGCATGCTTTCATTTCTTCAAAGGCCACTGCTGAAGCCAACAATCTAGCAGCAGCAGCTTCTGCCAAGGACATTTATTATAACAACATGGAAGAGGTATGTGGGGTCTATGCCTTATTCTGAAATGTCCATAACCTAGGCATTGTTGCTGACTTCAGAAGCCTCAACTTTACCCTATTTAAGGTATTGTTAGGTAATAAGGCAACAAAACTATATTCAGGTTATCCTTGTAACTGGGACCTTAAAAATAATTAGTTATTACCATTTCTTTTTTTTTTTTGAGTTGGAGTCTCACTCCGTCGCCCAGACTGGAGGGCAGTGGTCGCTCCCGGCCACCACAGCCTCGACCTGCTGGGCTCCGGCGATCCTTCCACCTCAGCCTTCCAAGTAGCTGGAATTACAGGCACGCGCTACCACGCCTGGCTGATTTTTTGATTTATTGTAGAGATGAGGTCTCGCCAAGTTGCCCAGGCGGGTCTCGAACTGGTGGGCTCAGGCAGTCCACTCACCTCAGCCTCCCAAAGCGCTGGGATTACAGGCTGAGCCACCGAGCCTGGCTGTCATTACCATTTCTAACTAAGGCTTTCTTCCAGTGTCACTGCTCTTTCTGATTAATATCTCCCTGGTAATTAAAGTGTGCTTTTCAGAGGAGGTAAATCCAGACTTTCTTGGTCTTGGTCATCTCGTATATTAGAGGTAGATTAAGTTATCTCCTAGTGGGTTACGTTCTAATGTGTTAAACAGTCTGACTTTTTCATTGTCTTTTTTTTTTTTTTGAGTTGGAGTCTCACTCTGTCGCCTAGACTGGAGTGCAGTGGCTGTTCCCGGCCACCGCAGCCTCAACCTGCTAGGCTGCGGCGATCCTTCTGCCTCAGCCTTCCAAGTAGCTGGAACTACAGGCGTGCGCTACCACGCCTGGCTGATTTTTTGATTTATTGTAGAGATGAGGTCTCACTGCCCAGGCGGGTCTCAAACCCACGGGCTCAGGCAATCCACTCACCTCAGCCTCCCAAAAGCGCAGGCTTGCAGGCTGAACCACCGAGCCTGGCTTCATTTTCTTTTCATTTATGTGCTACTTGTTTCTGAAAGGATCGTCAGCGAATTGTGTCTTTGTTATCTTAGGTGTGTGGGGGCGAGAAGCCTTATTTGTCTCCAGACCTTCTAGAGGAGAAGCACTGTGAATTCAAGCAGCTTGCTCTGGACCACTTTAAGAAGACCAAGAAGATGGGCGGGAAGGATTTCAGCTTCCGTTACCAGCAGGAGCTGGAGGAGGAGATCGGGGAGCTCTACGAGAACTTCTGCAAGCACAACGGCAGCAAGAACGTCTTCAGCACCTTCCGGACGCCGGCAGTGCTGTTCACAGGCATTGTGGCCTTGTACATCGCTTCAGGCCTCACTGGCTTCGTCGGTCTCGAGGTCGTGGCCCAGCTGTTCAACTGCATGGTGGGACTGCTGTTGATAGCGCTCCTCACCTGGGGGTACATCAGGTACTCTGGCCAGTACCGTGAGCTGGGTGGCGCTATTGACTTTGGCGCAGCCTACGTCCTGGAGCAGGTGAGTGGCGCTGCTGGGAGGCGGGGTTGTCATGGGCAGATGTCTGCACTTCTGTAAAACATCTCTGGGTGTGGGAGCTTTTCTGTCTTCCTCTCAACAAATGCTGCTTACACACACACACACACACACACACACACACACACACACACACACAATGTCTCCGGTTGGAAGAATTTCATAGTGAAAGAAGGCTGAGAAACTTCCCCTTGCATTTCATTACCCTTCTTTCGTATGTTAATATTTATTCCTTACATTTTGTTTCCATGCCTAAAAAGTCCTTTAATGCAAAAAAAGGTCCGACTTAGGCATATTGTGTTCCTCATCGGCTACTGATAATTGCATGTTTTTTAGAACAATCTCTGTGATTCTCCCCGCTCCCTCTCCCACCCCCTGGCTTAATTTGCTTCCTTGAAAATCAAGAGCTTTGAAAAACGTATGAACTAACCATTGCTTTGCTCAACTCTGGTCTGGCCATGTGACTCTTTGGGGTGTGGCCACCATGTTTCCTCAGGTTTTGGCCTTCTCGCCTACCTTGGGGAGGTGAATCTCTTCCCTCTCTCTCTCCAGTTTGCTGTGAAAACAAATAAACTGTGTTTTCCAATCTAAAAAAAGACCATATGAACTTAACCAAAAGTTCTGCTTTGAGTCCTATTGGGTGAGAAAAGGGATGGCATCTCTTTCATTTAAAATCTTCCAAAAAGTGGCTTTTTAAAAAAAAAAATTTGACATGGTCTCCAGTTTGTGGATCTCTGAGACGACCTGTTTCTTTTCCACATGAACGGTGTGAAGCCAAGGGAGCTGCCCACCCGCCCATCACAGAGCAGATGCTCAGCTGACTCTCTGGGGAGTTGGCGCTGCCACACAGCCTGTCCTGCCCTGTGTCTTCACTCCCCGACTGCGTGTGACATGCTGATGTGGAGTGGGGCTTGTGGAAGTGCGTCTTGCTCTGTTCTGGTTGTGTTTAACTGACTTACATGTCGAATAAATGGACTTTTGCAGGCTTCTTCTCATATTGGCAATTCCACTCAGGCTGCGGTTGCCGGGAGACCACCTGTGGATAAAAAAGCTCAGTAGCATCTTGACACGAGGATCCAGCGAGAACTCGGCCGGCCCCTCTGATTTCTGGGCTTCTGCTGCCGACACAGGTCCACATCCAGAGGAATGGCAGAGCTGAGACCCTCCGGGAAGAGCTGGAACCCGGCACCATAATAAATGAACTGGCCCCTCCTGTGGTTTCAGACTCCTAAACACACTTCTGATTCTTTTGGAAGCACTTCTTTCCTTGCTGTTACAGATCCAAGCCTGTGTCTACTTTCTTATTACTCTCTGCTTTGTGCACTTTATGGGGGAGAAAGCTAGAGGGGAAGCTAGAAATGCAGCTTCTGAGTTCTTGATGTGCCATTTCGTGCCTTGTAAGATAAATCCATGGTTTTGTGGACTTGATGGGGAAGGTGGAGGACACCCTCAGGAAAGATGCCATTTCCAGTGTCAGTTCTTTTATATGTTCCTCTTCTGAGAAGGATTCCTTTTTTAAAAGTTTACAAACTTGGAAAAGCTTCAGAGTTAAAGACTAACTGAAAATGATGCCATTATGCTTTAAAAATCTTATTTATAATATTAGAGAATCCTGGTTTCCATATAGTGTGGAAAATCACATCATATTTAAATATACTACATTCTGAAATATAAGGCCTTTTTACCCACCAGGCTGACAGTCTTATTGCAACATGCTCTTTTTTTTTCCTTTCTATCGTGTCTTTCTAGAAAAAGAGACAAACATGCCTTGAAAAGCCAGAGTGGCTTGTAAAAGAATGAGTTGACTACGTTAAGAAGAGCTGAGTTTAAATGAACTGTGTGACCTCTGATAGGTCACTTGAACTTGTGCCTTGGTCAGGTTCACTGTAAGCTTATGTATGTTGTACACAACTCTCATAATTTTTATTTGAGAGATTTTGTTTTTGAGTGTTCTGCAGAATAACAGAACTTTATTAAAGGTTAGAGGAAAGATATTACCAAATATTACTGCCTTTAATTGATGTCTGATTTCATGTGACTTCACAGCAGTTAATAATTAAATAACTTGACTTAAGTTCTATTTGCATTCTCCTATGCACTAACATTCTTAATAGTGAAGCTAAAATCGTCAATTTTATTTAGTGAATCTTCTTTTATTTAACTTTACTTTTGACTAGTTTGGTAGCTTGAAAATAGCTTTGGCTTAGTAAGGACCAAAGTCCTACGCAAATATGAACAATATCCCGAAGTATCTAAGAATTCTTTTTCTTATTTGCCCTGATTAGGCGATAACCAAGTTGTGTCTATTAGTTGCTTTTTCCTTTGATTCATAATGGTGAATTATTGTAGATTTTAAAACTTCTTAAAACTTGCCTGCAAGTATTTGTATAAACATTCAGGTGTGTAAGCCTTAATTTTTGAGGTAATTTTGTTTGTGTTGTAGGCGGGAGATAGGAGAGCTTAGGCAAAATCTGAGTGTGAATTTTATATACATGAAGTATCAGTGGAAAGTAGAAAAAAGAAAGTCTTTAGTGTGTAATCTCTTTATCAAATAATTTTCTTTTGTCTAAAACTTTGCCATTCAAGTATTTTTATAAGTCCTAAATGAATTCTGAGCATTTTATATTTTTCATGTTTATATACCATCTTTCCCTGGAGTTCTTGCTATTTTAGTCACTTGTTACATTTTAGAAAAATTCCAGTTTGTTCTAGAAAGTCTGTACTTGGGCTTATCAGTGATGCCAAGCTTTGACTGTTAATTTGGCAGGCAGGGATACTCACCACTATACTAGCGAGAGGAGGCTTGCCTGTTAACTTGAAAGCTTGCTCCTGAAACTTGGTGCATTTTCAGGTGGACTCTCATCTCTCGGAGAGTTCATACTTACTAGCAGACCCTATGGATATTGAGTTACTGAGCTTTTAATACATTCTGTAAGTAAAACTACAGATTTCAGAATAATTGTCAAATGTGGTCCTACTTTGGTGAGAAGGGATGATACATCTAAAACCCATTCTAACACTTCTAAAGTATTAGGTCTTTTAAAAAGGTGATACTGTACGATTTAATGAAATCTTGGGATTTAGTTACTGTTCAAATTCACCATTTGTTTTGGTTTTAAAAAGGAATAATGTTGGTTTATTTACCCAGGGGAAGTCCCTTTTTATGGTCTTTATTAGTTCACCTATCCTGTCTTGTGAAAGTGTTTACAAAGCTACTCAGTGAGGTTTCTTATGAGTTTTCTTTGGCCTCTTTCTCTCTTAAATTGGTGATTTTATGTCAACTATGTCAGTTGAAGATGCATTCCCAATGCTAGCTATAAAATAGTCCAGGGGAGATTTGTCGCCAGGCTGGAAAGAATATCCTTTTTTTTTTTTTGAGTTGGAGTCTCACTCTCGCCCAGACTGGAGTGCAGTGGCCACTCCCAGCCACTGCAGCCTCGACTTGCTGGGCTCCGGTGATCATTCCGCCTCAGCCTTCCAAGTAGCTGGAACTACAGGCGCGCACTACTACGCCCGGCTAATTTTTTTTTTTTAATTTATTGTAGAGATGAGGTCTTGCCAAGTTGCCCAGGTGGGTCTTGAACCCGCAGGTTCAGGCAGTCCACTCACCTCAGCCTCCCAAAGCACGGGATTACAGGCTGAGCCACTGAGCCCGCTAGAATATCCTTTACCTGTTAACTTCTCTCAGCCTTTGGCTTGGGGTCAGGACCTCAGACTGTGTTTGCACAGCATCTTTTGCTCTGCCGTTCCTGCAGGCCTTTTCCTTTCCATGCGGGTATTTGAAATTGACACATTCCTAACAATATATGGAGTACATTCCTGTTAACAGGTAAAAGGAGGTGTCCGAAACATTCTATTACAATAACAATTTCAGGGGAATTTGCTAAATTAAAAAAAAAAACAAAACTTACAGTTGCCTCGTATAGTAAAAATAACAGATTCAAAATTTTGATGTTTTTCGCCGAGAAATCTTGGTTTGTAGATAAAATATAAAACAACTTCAGAGTCATGCCATATCTTCACAGTGTACCAAGAGCACTGTCCCGTGCAGGTTTATATTTTAACACTTTATGCTTGGTAAAATTGCCTGTGATCTTGTTTCTGCTTTTCTCTTTTCTCTTTTCTCTTACTCACATGAAGTAAAATTCTTTGGCAAACACACACAAACAAAAACACTGCCTTGTATGTGCAGTGCATTTCTTTAGCAGGTCACAGAGCATTCTACTTGGAAAAATGGTGCCTTAGATGTAAGTTTACTTAGGGTAAATATGAACGTGTGTATGAGTTGTAGCAAAATTAGGTAGGCTGATCCAAGTATGGTAAAAGCAATAAAACAAATGGTTTTTTTTTTCCCTAGGCTTTAAAAAAAATGATGCAACTCATGGACATCTTCATAGAACTATTTTTTTGCTATGGAACTATTGAAATCTAATTTAGGGTAATTTGATGTTCTGTCTGAGGCAGCCAACATAGGCTGCATTATTCTGGCTTATGTTTGGATCTAACAAAATTTTAGTCATGGGATGAGGGCATTTTTGAAAGCACCAACTATGTGTGTGATTAATTTTTGCAAATGACATTAGAAAGCCCATTGTAAAAGACCATTTGCAGTTGGATAATTTTCCTTATGTTTTACGCCATATTGTAGCTACGTTTGGGTCATGGTTCCCATACCTTGGAGTGCGTAAGACTTACCTCGGAGGTTTCTTAAAAGAAAATTCAGATTCTCAGCGTTATACCCAGGGATTACCTCAGCTGGTCTGAGCTGTGGCCCTGGGATCATCACTTTGATAAATGGTTCAGAGGCCCCAGAGAGAGACTGCTCCATGGGGGGGACGTACCAAGGAGGGAGTGCAAATCAGTACTGTCTGGAGGCAGGTGGACACCTTTACCTGAGTTCAGAATAGGTGGGCTCCTGCCAGGTAAAATCACCAGGAGCTCACTGTGTTCAGAGTAGTAAGGATGCTTTTAGTCTAGAGGATTATCCAAGCTCCTGAAAGCTGTTTTTCAAAATCGTCATAGTGCCTTCTCTGAAAAATGAATGTACAAGTATCCTATTTACTAACAGGTGTAATTAGGGTTAAGAACAATTTTTTTTGATAACCGTTTTTCCTTCCTCCCTCCTTCTGGGTTCAAGTGATCCTTCTGCCTCAGCCTCCCAAGTAGTTGAGACTACAAGTGTGCACCACTACGCCTGGCTGATTTGTTGTTTCTGTAGTGACGAGGACTCATGTTGCCTTGTCTGGTCTCGAACTTCTGGAGCTCTAGCAGTCCTCCCTCTTCAGCTTCCTAAAATGCTAGGATTACAGGTATGAGCCACTGTGCCTGGACTATTTTCTTTTAAAAAGCAAAGCACAGCACTGTGACTCGAACCCCAAATCATTCACATACAGAAAATCTTAACCCACAAGTAAGAATAATGAATAAAAAGGAAGGACAGGATCATAGTTTCAGTAATTAGTGACTGTCAATGAGAGCACCCCATATCAGGAACTTTTCAAAATAGACCTGGAGACAGAAAGATTTGGAAAGAAACTTTTATTTGGTAAGGAATTTTATGTGCCAGAACTAAAATGTAAATGTGTTTTTACGAACGAGGGAAGATTGCATTGATTCCTTAAGCTTTAGATAAATACATCTAATTTAGGTGAATAAATGCTCTCATGGATGTAAGCCTTAAAAGAGTTATGATTAATCTTGTACATATACAAATTTTCTTCTGTTTTACTTTCTTTTATAAAACGATTTGTTAAAAGTACTTTTCTGCTAGTCTCTTGCCTTTGAATGGCTTTAAAATTTGTTATAGTTTTTAAATAGTGCAATGGGATGAGATTTTGCTGTTAGTATGTTAAAAGCATGTTTCTGTTTCACTGTTAGGTGTAAGGTCATTTAATGGAATAAAAAAAAAAATCACAGCACTATGTTACCTGTGTTGTTTCCTTTCTCTGTTCTTTTTATTTTTATTTATTTTGAGGCAGGGTCTTGCTCTGTCACCCAGGCTGGAATGTAGCGGTACAATCCTGCCTCACTGCTGCCTTGATCTGGGCTCAAGCAATCCTGCCTCAGCCTCCTGAGTAACTGGGACTACAGGCATGCACCACTGTGCCCAGGTAATTATTTTTTTAATCTTTGTAGAGATAGGGTCTTGCTATGTTGCCCAGGCTGGTCTTGAACTCCTGGTCTCAAGCGATCCCTTTGCCTTGGCCTCCCAAAGTGTTGGGATTCCAGGTATGAGCCACTATGCCCAACCTCTTTCTCTGTTCTTTAATATGGGGGGACCTGAACCAGTACTGGGCACTTGGCAAAGTGAACAGGATCTCTAAGGGGCTGGACAACAGTGTCAAAAGCAGTAGTAGTGGCAATGTGGTTTGAAGTAGTCAGCTTCCCCGGTCCTATAAAGCAATACTGAAGTAGTATATTGCCAGCATGGTGCTGGGGAAAGTTCTGCTGTTGTTGGCGTTGCTTAAAAGCAGGCACTAATTTTATTTATAGTAACATGGACTCGTGAAGACCTCTGAATTTGTAGCATGTTTGGTTGCCCCCTCTGGAGTCATCCAGTTAAATGGTTCCCCTTTGGGGGCAGAGGCAGAGAAGGTCACGTTCTGCTGAAAACTTTCCCTTTCATTGGAGGCCTGGGGAAGTTGCATTGAATTCTCCAACACTCACTAATAGGCATATCCCATTTAGCCCTACAGTCAATAAATTTCTTCCCTAGTTGGAAACATACAAGGAAGACCCCCAAAACCCGGGACTTATTTATTAAAAATGGTGTATTTACTCTTCCATGTTTAAACTTCCATCCCCTTCAAAGTGCTCTGATGAAATGCACCTATCGAGATGCTCTTTGCAATGCTCAGAGCAGTTTTTGAACTTGTCCATTGTGATGCCTTTTAGTGCTTCTGTCGTTTTTGGTTTCATCACTTCCACATTCACAAAACGTTTCCCTTTGAGGACTGTTTCCATCCAGGGAAACAGGAAAAAAGGTCACTTGGGGCGAGATCAGGTGACTGGACAGGGTGGGGCATGGCGTCAGGCCGGTTCGGGTCCAGAGCTGCTGAGCGCTCAGTGTGATGTGGGCAGGTGCGCCCGTAAATCACCCATCACAAAATGGGCAGATGCATTGAGGGAATCCCCCCAAAATTCGCTGAAGCTGAACACAGCCTCTCTGAACAGTGCTAGCTGCTACACTGATGCGGATGGGTTCCTGGAACTCTCACCGAGCAGGGAGGCCTGTATTGCAAGGGGCCCACCCTCCGAGGATAATTCTGGGTTTCTGGAGTCCCATCCTTGAACTGTGTGGGCTCGGCATCCTTTGTCCAGCCATGCATCCCTGGTTGCGGTCATGCGTCAGGGGCTATTCTTGAGTTCACTGCAGGATAACAGGGACGGGGCAGCCTTGAAGTCGACATGTGAAAAGGACGGCGAAGACAAAGTTTCAGTACTCAGGCACCCGCGTTGGTGCCCCCATCAGCACAGCCGGGGGGAAAGAGACGAGGTGAGGCGTGTGGTCTGGTGTGAGTGAGGAGAAGCCGATCCTACTGGGATTTTGACATTCTTGCCTTTGATGATTGTCTATCGGTTTTCTGTTTTGTTGTTGTTGTTGTTTGTTTGGTTTTTTTGAGTTGGAGTCTCACTCGGTCGCCCAGACTGGAGGGCAGTGGCCGCTCCCGGCCACCACAGCCTTGCCTGCTGGGCTCTGGCGATCCTTCCGCCT